GATTCCTTTTTTTGAAAGGCTTTCACTGCTCCCATTTTTTTCCGCTTCATTTTGGGAGGTTTTTAGAATTCGGATGCAAAGTATTACGAGCCTTAACAAAGAACGTCGAAACATCACGTGCTATTAGTATATCCCCACTTTGGGACCCAAGGATTTTGGGGATATATCTGAGGTTGGGATATACAGACGTTGCAAAATTCTTTGAAGTATTGGCGAAAGTGGCAGCGATTAGACATCAAATGATATACCCAACTTACAAGTTCTCGCCAAAGAAGACTTCGCCAAAGGAAAGAGAATGGTATAGCATTTTAATAAATAATATCATGCAATGTTATTGGTTAATAAATTCTATTAGTGACGTCCGGCGTTTTGGCATTTCTACTGCTTCATCTAAGCGCTTAATTATATTGCGGATATAATGTACAGTGTAATAGTAATTAAATAAACTATAATTTAGTTTACATTGTCGTTACAAAAAAAAGGAAAGTCAAAGAATTATGATATACTCCCGGGCAAAAGTCTGTGCCCCAAAATATTTAATATAGACTAGGCCTGTTCAATCCTGTTCCGTTCCGTTCTGTTCCGATCGACGGCAAAATTGTATCAACCAATCAAAAATCCGCGAAAATTGAGGATAAATTTCGCGTTTCCACGTTTCGTCGTTTTTCTTTTCACTCCAATTTGTTGTTTCCATTCGTTTCCGTCATGTGATTTTTAATCCGCCAATCAGGGATCGGCACAAATTGGAACGGAACGGAACAGAATTGAATAGGCCTACTGATTCATGAACGCGATTTACTATGAGAACCCATTATAACAATATAAAATTCTTGTAAAGCGATTCCATTACTGTATACTTTGTGACTATTGCTATGTAAGTACACGTCATAAATACTCTGACCCTTCCTATGTGTCACACTCCACTGCTGTGGCTGGAGAGATCATCACATATTAATATGTGGCGCGCGTGAGGTATTTTGAACCGGTACAGGTAAAAGTTGTCCCTAGAAAAAACTGGCCCTAAGAAAAAAAAATTAGCCGAGGCCGGAAGTGAGGCTAGCATTCTTCAGTTTCTAGAACCTTTTTTAGCTGACCCTAGTAATCCTAGCTGACCTAGTAAAATCTCCAAATTTTTTACTTTTTATTTTTTTTATCTATTATACATGTATACGTATTATCTACTATATACACTAAATACCATGAAGTAATGATTTTTTCCTATAATCTTATTTTTTTCCCCCCTAAAATACTATTATTAGTACTAGTGATACTAGGGGCAAGGATAAAAGAAATCAAACAGCTCCAAAAAGCTAAAAAGTCGATCCTAGTAGTGTCCCTAATAAAATTTTGACTAGGGTCAACTAGGATAAAGTATTAAGTATGTCGTTATATTTGATATAACAATATAAGCAAATTAATTTTTAACGGCATTCTTAATAGCAATATATTATGTTTATATTACGTAATAATTGCTCGAATATTGGCTCGAACCGCTAGTCGCGACAACTTTTGTAGACAAGCCTTAACTTGCAATTAATAGACAATAAGACAGTATGTTATAAAAGTTTCTGCGTTATAGTATTAGCCTACAAACAAAGACTCCAAATTAAGAACAAGTTTTAAATGACGAACAAATTACCCCGAACAGTTAAATCAACAACTAATTTTGTATCATTCATGACTGAACATTCAAAAAAAGCAACATTTTCATATGAATGACAGGCAACATATCACGTGAAAACACACAATCACCAATAGATGCGTATCAAAAAAAGAACCAACTTTACGAGAATGCACATTCCGTGGTAACTGTTGGGGGAAATGGGACGACATTCAAAACAAAGAAGACATTTAATTCGTTTGAAGGTTACAACAGAGGCGTTGGATCTAATTTCTTTAAAGTAAATTCGTGGTTGTGCGCAAAAGTCCTTCCGTATATGGATGCCTATAGAAAAGGGCAAGCAAGCTGAACATGCACTTAGATGGTATAAGCTACATCGCGTTATTCCTTTCAGCAATTGTAATAAATTTATTATATTACTTGTAAATTTGGCAACGTTTTCTCAAATTTGTCGCGACTAAGCGGTCCGAGTCAATAGAAAGTTGAAATTTTCACGTGTCATGCTGGGGGTCACATGGTCATTTACGCAAAAAAAAATCATTGTTATATAAAGTAGCTGATAAATCTGCAAAAAGCGAAAACGTCAAACCTTTTCCAAAAACTTTGTCACAAGAGTATCGAGTCTTTGCTTTAACATTAGTGTAGGATTTTAACTGATTTCACATTCACAATTAGTTCAAGAAGCACACGTCGCAATATTTGCGTACAAGTGCGGTATAGGTAAGTAAAGCTTGTGGTTAAATGAAAACGAATCACAAAAATTATCTTTACGTTTTTAGAATCGCATAACCTTCCTTTTGCTCTTCAAGATTCTACTGTCGCCACTATTCTCTTACGTGAATTAAGAACGGATATGCCTGCGCTTGTTTTTCAATGGTAATGGAACAACACAGGGTTTAATGACGTCCCTGCTACGCCAAACTGTCGAAATGGAATCCCAGGCCGGACAAGAGAGGCTTTCATTGCGAATCTCGTGGCGCGTGGTGCTGTAAATCATGAGGATACCATTTTTTCATTTCCAAATGGTGAGGCGATTGGCATATGGGTAGGGCAAATTCATGTATGGGTACGTTTAAGCCCTGTGTTTTGGATTCTTTATAACCCTCGATTAGCTTGTCACCTTCCTCTTTATTTGCTAAAGGGCTCGCCATCAGACGGGAGTTCCCGATATCTGTCATTCAGTTACTAGAATCATCAAGATAGATACAACTTGTCCAGATAATATTGAAGATTTTAGTTATATTTTTCTCAGATAATCGTTAACCAATTCAATTAGAAACTTAAACTCATAATTCTCAAATAATGACACAAATGGGGAAAAACTAATTAAGAACTTGGAAGAAAAAAATAAAGAATTCATTATTTTGTTTTATCTTATGATTAAGATGGAAGAAAAGGATTTTCAACTTTTAAAAAAAATACTGGCCAAATATCCTTATCGCTTTTATGCTTATGGTTCGCGGGTGAAAGGGACCGCAAGAAAGTTTTCCGATTTAGATTTTGATCACTTATCATCTTTCAGTGTCTTGCGTGTAATTAGCATCTAAAATGTGTGTCATTATAAATGTAAAATGTATCTTTTTGGCTTCTTGCATGGCTAGATTTGTACGTAGGGTGTCTGAAAAGCTTTGGCAATATATTTTTATCTCAATGATCTGTGCATCTATTAAATTAAAGTGAGAATGTGAGGAAAGTTCAAGCCTCGATTGATCTAACATAAAAAATTTGATTCAATTTGATTTGATGGTTGTCAAGAAATCTGCTTCATAAAACCGTACCCTAAAACGTATGGAAAATTTCTATGTAATAATACTGATGTTACTAAATTTTTGCTAGCTTTATAGCTGAAAAAACGGCCAAATTGCAAAAAAAAATTTATCAAAAGTTGAGGTTGACAAGGAACCCAATGCATAGTCTGAACATACAATTTACAGATGGATTGAAGCATTTGAAGATGTGGGATAAGAGCATTAAAAATGGCTCCCACTCATTATTGAAGAGAAAGAGCAAAAAGATGAGAAAAAGATGCTCAGTGTTACTTAGAGGCTTTGGATACATCTGAACAATGAAAATTAAACAATTGGCACATAAGTTAATTTCTCTCAATCGAGTTAGAATTGGAATTAAGTATGATGAAGTTCTGTATTATAACAAAATAAAAGACCTAGAAAATTAAATCCTATAAATGAGGGAGAAATCAGAATTGATGCAAAAATCTATTGAGGAATTTGGAAATGAAAGAGAAAGAAGAATAATAAATAATTATAATTACAAAAAAACTAGAAAAAAAAGAAGAAATGTTGAAAGAGTTTGAATCACAACTTAAAGAACGAGCAAAAAGAACAAAAACAAAATAGAGGAAAAGACTTTAGAAAAAAAATTAGAAAATACTGAACAAGGAGAAAATAAAAAAATTAAACTTGAAAAAATTATAAGAACTAATTGCTAAAAATAGAGGCTTCAACAGAATATAAATAGTAATAGATACTTTAATGAGAGAATTACTTTATATTTATACAATTTTAGAATTGGAAGACTAATGTAGCAAAGACTCCAGATGTGCCTTTTGCACTACTCTTTATAGTGATAAAGACATAGCTGTTTGCCAAATAAGAACTCGGAGTGAAGAGATTGAAAAAATAATTATGCTTGTGAAAATTGTAAAAAAAAGTTTGAAAATGGGAAGTTACCAAAGTGTGACAGGTGCCCATATTTGAAGAAATGTGATAATTTATTTTAAAGTTATTATGTACATTTTCGAAAAATAAATATATTGTCGAAACTTTTCAGACACCGTACTACTACGTAAATACACATGATTCCCTTACTATTACATTTTTGGTGTATTAGTATATTAATATAGTGTACTAGATGCACTTGCTCACTACCGTCTCCACAAATGACGCGTAAATCGCAATCAGTCCGTCAAACTTGCGGTGAGCCCTCATAACATAACTCGGTTATTATCTTGCAACAGAAATTGGCCAAGATTACTAACCCAACATTAAATATTAATATTAATAGTGTCGATCTCGTACATAATACATAATGGTCGTGAAGTATCAAAATGAGAGGATTGTTTCTCTGTAAGAACAAAAGTTGCATGAGCATAATTGTTTTCAACAACTATATGTTAATATTACTTCTCACGTGTAGCTGTACTGAGATACAAATTTTTATCGACAAAATAGTCATTGGCGACAACGGGTACGCGTCTGATGACTTAAAGCAATATTCATTCATGAATCGTGATTAAAAACCTTTATTGCCAAACTTGGCAATATTCTACATTAATTGAGGCTTAGCCAAATCTAGATTTCAAAAATCGCGAATTTAAATATTCAGAAACATCAATTCTACGTCTCGCTCATAATTTGTCATGTCCGCAGCACGTCGAACAACGGCAACTCCGCGTTCTACGCCTTCAAGACAAAAAACCCCGGCAGCGGGCCGAGCAACGTCTTCCAATTCTGACAATCGGCAGCCTTCGTCCGTGCGGGAGGCTATTGCCCAGGCTAGAGCAAGACAATCGAGCGCGAAAAAAGCTGCCAGTCATCAAGATCAAGATGAAGAGGTTGTTGGCGGAAGAAGTCTGAAAGTTATTATCAAGCAGGCGCGATCGTCCGGTTGGTAGTTCAAAAACTCACATGTACATGCATGTTACTAATTGGTTAAAAAAAAACTGAAGGACATTAATGTTCTTCTTGTAGGACGTCTGAACATTACCAACAGATCTTTGAAAGAAATTCCCGAGGAAGTCTGGAAAATGTATGATACCGACTCAAGCACTGTCAATCTTGACTTTAGCAGCAGTTCCGCGGAAAATTGGTATGAGGCGATTGATTTGACACGATTAGTGGCAGCTGATAACTTGATTGAACATATTGATAAAAGAATAATGGAGTTCGGTGCTTTGGTTTTTGTTGATGTACGTGATTTATCATATCGTTTGTTGTCTTTCAAACTATTCGTTGGAGACAAACGATCAGCGAATGGCCCCATTTTATTATATTTCAGAAACTAGTTTGATATTTTTATATCATCTACCACGACGATAATCATTTCTGTTTCTCATTACCGTGCTGTAAACAGCTACATAATAACAATCTTTCATCTCTCCCGGTGGAATTTGGCGAGCTGAAGAGTCTCACAACGCTAAATTTATCAGCCAACAAATTCACACAACTTCCAAGTTGTATTGTGAAATTATCTTCGCTTGTTGATCTTCAGCTCGCTTCTAATGGGCTTTCTGGAACGTTAGATTCTTCCTTTGGAAATTTAACGAAATTGGAGTTTCTTGATATTTCATCCAACGAGATTTCTGGCCTTCCGGAAGAATTTAAAAATTTAAAGAATCTTCGTAAGCTGTTTGTGCGAAAGAACAAACTGAAGGCTTTACCGGGACTCGCCTTGGTTGGAATGACGAAATTGGAGGAGTTGGAAGCCAGCGAAAATCGGATCGAGACCATCTTCCAAGAGGTAGTTGATGGACAGCCAGTTCAACTTGAGTCATTGAAGCGTCTAGACCTGCGGAATAACCGCTTGGTGGCTCTCGACAAATCCGAGGACGCTACAATGTTTAAGCCGACACTGTCTATACCGAAATTAAAGGAGCTTTTGATATCGTCCAACAGATTAAAATCAGTAGGACCTTTATTGCACACTACGTCTGAATTGGAAATATTGGATATTTCTGAAAATTTATTTGAAGAATTGCCAGATGGATTGATTGCTTTGAAACAGCTGAAGAGATTGGATTTGCGAAATAATGCATTGAAAGAACTAGCGCCAGAATTAGGGATGATGACATCCTTGGATGTGCTTAGTTGGGAAGGTAACCCGTTAAGGAGCGCGCCCAGAGGATCGAATTCCACAGTGGCATTACTCCAATCGCTGAGAGACCGATTGGCTGCCGTTGGTAAGAAAAGACGATAGTGACAAGATTTTGAGTAGCAGGCTTTACTTGTAGCTGACCAGAAAAATGTTTGTATTATATAGATCTTGAAAGTATTCAGGGGCCTACTATTCCCGATTCCACTACTAGCCGGCGCGTCGGAGATCATTCGCTTGGAACCTTTAATCAGCAAGCAGCAGCCTCTAAAATCCTTGATCTCTCCAAGAAATCTCTTTCTAATCTATCCGATGACGATCTTGAGGCACTTCCATTTGAACCAATTACGATACGACTCAGTTTTAATGAATTTTCTAATATTCCCCGCTCCTTGTTTACGTTATCTTTTAGCAACGTGCTTACTACATTGCAACTTGATCACAACAAACTCACGACATTTCCTCTGTATCCGCCTGATTTACCCGAGTCGGAATGGACTCCCTTACCGAATCTAACTACCCTCGATCTATCAGCAAATCAAATAACGTCTATTCCCGATGGTTCGTCGCCAAAGCCCTTTCCTAATTTGCAGACTTTGAACCTAAACCAGAATCGTATTTCATCGCTTCCTCCTAAACTTGCGTGGCCTAAACTGACATCACTGTTGGTTTCTATGAACCTGTTGTCAGAGATTACGCCATCGACGTTTGAGGGTTTGGAAGTCTTGGATTTATCAAATAATAATATAGGCCATCTACCTCCAGAACTGGGCAATGTGACGACTATCAAGACCTTGTCTGTTGAAGGGAACACCTTTAGAGTGCCACGTTATCCCATCGTTCAGAGAGGCACGGCGGCGATTATGGAGTATTTGAGGGGAAGAATTCCCAAGTGAGTTGAACCTTCTCACTTGAGCGAATGGCGTTGTATACATTCATGTATTATGTTTTATTATTATCTGTGTATCTATTATTTATTACAATGTGTAAATTCTTTACACATAAAATGAAGAGACTGGTGTAATCAAAATGCATGCAACGAATAATTGGTTCGAAAATCCGTTATAAAGAGAAAAGTATTACCGGTAATATGAAAACCTTTATATTGCGTATCTTTGCCGGAACACAAACATATAACCGTTACATATTCCACTAGCGCGCGATAGTTAAGGCAACGCTATTCGGATACCTCCCTTCCTTGCCGAATATATTGATATGAAATAACGCGCGCTCATAGAATACATCGTGTGCTCATTAAAGCCAAATTCCACTTTAGAGTGAATCTCGCCGAGATCTATCATATCGTTCGGCATGAACTTTTCAATTGTTTGATCGGATATTATTACAACTACCGATGCCCGGCCTGTGTTCTCTAAAACCAGATTTTTATGCTAATACTAACGCCGAAAGCCAGCCGGTTATCCATAAATGTCATACATGGATAAAGAGAGAAAAGACCATAGTAATAGTGGAAATTACAGTTTTCTACCTCAGTTATATCCCAGCTTTGATGCTGGACAGATTTCCCTTATTTAGTTCCATATAAATCTACCTCAGTTATATCCCACTCCCCTTAATAGTATTACGCGAATTTATTAACCATATATTAATATGTATCACGATAAATCATGTCACCTCTATCTATTAATTAATATTTGTCGATTATTTGCTTCATTTGGTTAGTCAAATTCCCGATACAATAAAAAGTCAGGCCACAAATCAAATGCCCGAGGATCAGACCACTAATACTAATTCAATGTCAAGACGTAAGAAATTTTTAGAACAAAGAGAATTTGCGACAGAAAATGATATTAGATACATGCGCAATATAATTCGGCGCTTAAACGAATCAGTAGAAAGGTCGAAACGTCAAATGTCACTGATAGAATTTATTAACCAATAAAATTGCATGATATTATCTATTGAAACGCTATACCTTAGTTATATCCCACCTCAGATATATCCCCAAAAAATTTGGGTCCCAACATGGGGATATAACTGAGGTAGAACTGTATAAAGCAGTAATAATGGCGGTGGAATAATTTTGGAAACGCGCGATTTTTGTACAAAATACCATTTACAGTAGTAGATAACGATAACGATAATAATGTTAATTATAGTAATCACATGATCGGTACCACGTTTAAATTTAGTCAGACATCATTTTCGCTCCATTGTTGACTGTATTTTCCCATGTCACGACATTTTCCGAGAAAAACACGCTTTCATACTTCGACCTCGCAGAGAAAATTAGAGAATCTTATTTCAGACACTTCAGGGTCAGGGTCTGATTTCTCAGAGTCCGAGCAGCCGACAACTTCATTCGTAACTCCTCGACTGTCATGTCCTGGTTTACCACCAATTAGAACCCCATGTTCTATATGCGGAGAGAAGGAACCGTTGCGCAGACTTATGATCTGTCGAGGATGCCACATGTGTGTTCATACAGGTTTGTTTCTGATAATTAATGGTGAGTAAGGTTATACCTTTGTTTGTTATAGTCTAATTTATTTTCCGGAGCAGATTGTTATGGTCAGGTTAATTATGATAAACCGCCAAGGATGTGGTTTT